CATTCAAGGGCCGGGTGACGATCTCCAGGGACAACGGGCAGAGCTCGGTGACGCTGACCATGAACAGCCTCAAGGACGAGGATTCCGGATCCGATTTCTGTGCCAAATCTGGCGCTGCTGGTTGGGGTGCTGCTGCTTGACCCCCTCCCCGTCCCCGTGTCCCCCCCTGTCCCCGTGCCCCAGACCCTTCCCCCCAGCCCCTGACCCCGTTCCTGACCCTCTGTCCCACCCTTGCTCTGCTCTGGCCCCAAATCTCAGCTCCTGGCCCCAAATCAGGGCCGGTTTCACCCTGAGCTCAGCCTTGGCCCCCCAATCCCAACCATACAGAATTCACAAAATTCACAGAGTTCACAAATTTCACAGAATTCACAGAATTCACAGATTTCACTGAATTAACAAAACTCACAGAATTCACAGGATTCTCAGAATTCACAAAATTCACTGAATTAACAAAATTCACTGAATTCACAGAAATCACAGAATTCACAGATTTCACAGAATTCACAAGATTCACTGAATTTACACAATACACAGAAATCACAGAATTAACAAAACTTACAGAATTCACAGAATTCTCAGAATTCACAGAATTTGCACAATTCACAGAATTTACAGAATTCACACAATTCACAGAATTCACACAATTCACACAATTCACAGAATTCACTGGGTTGGACGAGACCCCCAAGCCCACCGAGCCCAGCCCAGCCCCAGCCCCCCAACCCCGGCCCCCAGTGCCGCACCCCGGCTTTGTTAAACGCCCCCAGGGACGGTGACTGCCGCGCCTCCCCGGGCGGAACATTCCAGAACTTTGTCCCTTTTTCCGCACAGAACTCTCTCCCGCTCTCCAGCCCGTGTCTCCGTGGCGCAGCGGCAGGCTGCGTGCTCGGGTTCTGTCGGTGCCTGGGGAAGGAGCCCAGCCCCAGGGGGGCACGGGCACCTTTTGGGGGGGCCCAGGGGGTGACGAGGGCACCCCGGAGCCTCCTCTTCCCCAGGGGAGCACCGCCAACTCCCTCAGGGGTTCCTCTTGGGGTTCCGGGTTCAGTTTCAGGGATTTCAACATGGGCTGGATGCGCCAGAGACCCGGCAAGGGGCTGGAGTTCGTGGCAGGGATCAGCAACGATGGTGGCAACATCGGCTACGCGCCCACGGTGCGGGGCCGGGTGACGATCTCCATTTGGGGCCAAGAGATGAGATTTGGGGTCAAAACGGCCCAAGGTTGAGAGAAAGGGTCAGCCATGGGGTCAAAGTTTGGAGGGAATTGGCCGGGGCACGCAGGGATTGGATCAGGGCAAAAAGCACCAAAACTCATGAACGACCAATACCA